AGTCTTTGACTGTGGATAAAACTTTTCCCACTGAAAACCCCTAACATACCCTACATTTTACCAGATTTATAGCTGTCTCTTATACACATCTAGATGTGTATAAGAGATTGATTTTTCTTACGGCTGGGTGACCATAAACACCCTCACCTCAGCAGCCAATCAGACACATCTGAGAGGGTTGTCAGTTAGTCGTGGACGTAATGGTTGGTATAGTCCTATACATTGTCAGTTATGAATTTGTTTTCTCGAAGGTGAATAGTGCCTTAAGGGAATATCGCACACCGTATGACGATAGTGAGGTTGATAAGGATCACAAAATAAACTCTATATGATCAATAGTGGCATCAGACCTACTTTTTCAAATGTATATACAGGCACGTAAAGACCTGTCCAGATTATCATATTTTCTTTGACAAAAACTGTTGTATGCCCATATTAGTCATGATGTGCCTATATATCCCTGGATAAGAGGATACAGTATTAAAGAAACTAAAAATAATGTTTCATTGATGAATATTTTGTTCATTAAAATGAAGAACGCAACATTGGGCCATTTTGAAGTAGGAGGGAACCCCACTCATATCTAGAATTAAATCCGATTTTCTTTGGCCCGTGAGATCAAAATAAGTTGGCCCTTCTATTAAATTATAAGAACCAGGGATATATGGTCATGTTTAGGCATGTCACATGTTTTTGTCAACACGTTCAGCCAGGCATACAACACCAAAAAAGCACATTAAGCAACACATTTTAAATAAGGATTTATATTTTTTTTTCCTGTGTGCGTTTGTGGGTAGGTGTGTGTTTGTGTGTGTGTGTGTGTGTGTGTATGTGTTTGTTTTTACTTTGTCTGTTTTCTTTCTTTTGCTTTCTTTTTGTTATTTTCTTTTTTTAAAAGTATTTTAATGGTTGCTGTTTTAAATTTTATGACTAAATTGATAGATTGGCTATATTTTTACATACTTTTTATATTTTTGTATGTAAGTGGGCCCCTGAACATCAGATTTATTCTGTAAGGGTCAACCACTCAAAATATGGTTTTAAATAAATAAATAAATAAATAAACAAACGTATACGAACGGACTCATAGAAGCCCCTAATACCGGTCGCCAAAACAACATGACAGAATTAAGCCTGATTCTGGTACTCAAATGGACCATAGGCTGGTAAATATGGCTACCCAACGATGCGATTCGATTATAGGCCTATCACTTGATAAGAAACTATATTTTCATCAATGCATGCAACTTACAATAGGCCTTCAGCTCTCTACACATCATTGTTATATTCATTTTAAGGACATAAGGAAGACTCAATTGACACAAAATATATTAATATCATAAATAAAATCCTTCGCCGTGAGACTAAAACAGTAACGTCTATACCGATAAATGGCTTGAATGACTTTCATTACTTGACATCATGGTTGTATACTGCATAACATAATACACCTACACTGTATTTTATTAATCAACCGCCACACTCGTGTGTTAAATAATCACAAAAAACACTTCGAGGTTCGGGTTCGAATCCAGGTTTGTTTACATTTTCCCTGTCGTAGATTCCTCTTCCTTACAATATACAGTGTATATAGTGTTATATATGTATATAGGTTTATAACACATGTGTATAGCAATAATTATGATATACATGAACAGTCGAACGACGAAAGCTTGTGGATGTTTCAATATAGTATTTTGTATGTCTGTAAAGTGCTGTTTTCAACATATTTAATTCTCATCTTAGTAATCACATGGGGTTATTAAAACGATTGTTCCTTTTGTGTATCTGTATGTTAGCCTTTATGTTTGCATTTTGTTCATATACTTTTGGCATTCTGTGGTCGCCGCATGAAGACCTAATCTTGGTAATTAAAGAGATCCGCCGATTGAATCTAGTGTTGCTCGTACAGTTTTAGCATAAAACACCTAACAATATTTGATGCTATGTTAAAATTAAGTCTACATGGTACTCTGTTAAAATTGGTGCAATGTATACAACGCTGTCAGGTTCTTTGTCAATATTGTAACAATCTAAAATCTCAGTTAAAGAATGTGTATAATAATTTCATATATTTGATATAGTTGATAATAATAATAATAAAATTATGAAATTTTAATTATAAAATAATAATAATCATAATAATAATACTAATACTAATATTATCATTATTATACTGATAATAATAATAATAATAATAATAAAACAAATAATAATAATAATAATAATAATAATAATAATAATAATAATAATAATAACGTCGGTATTTATAAACAACCAAGTTTCAGAGCGGAACATAGAAGTTAACACTAGAGGCCTAAATTTATCAATAAGGGTCTATGCAAGCAAATATAGGACCGGAATTTATGCGTTGGGAGGAAACCAGTTCCTCGTCTTCATCCTCACTGCTTAAACTTAAGCCTAAGACAGTTCGGTCTTTAATCATTTTAATAAGACTATAGGTCTTGAATCATTTCACACTTCATCCTTAACTTGAACAAATCATCATACGAAAAAGACCGCCCTAGTACAAAACTATGAGGGGGTTAATTGATTTCTTTTCACATGTAACAATATGAAGAATTAGTAGACCTATCGTGCAGCACTTTTCATCAAAATGGACATTGGTTCAGTTACAATGCTTACTGGCCATAAACTGACGTCATAATAATACATTCATTTCAACATCTACATTATATTAGTAATTAATTAATACGAAATTTTACAAAGCTATAAAACATAGACTATACGTACCTGAGTTGC